GATAGCTCTGTATTAACTCCAATTGTAGGGAGTCAATGAAGCTTAAGTGAAAGTGACCAATGTGAATTTTCTCATTGTGTCTGCATTTTACTTAAGTAACAGTGATCAGTGTGGCTTCCCCATCCAGTGAAGTCAAGAGGATACTGGGATTTCTGCTCACAAGAGTTGTCACAATGGAGAAATACTTTGGAGTGTCTATCTGTTGCTAATGCAAACTCCAAGTTTTAGGGAAGATGGACATACCATGTTGATTACATGTGAGCAAATGAAGCCACAGTGGAATCTCCATGGGAGGGACTCAAAAAGGAGAAAGCAGTTGTATAATTAGCAGATGTCAAAATGGCCCATTCTAAAAATGGCTCTTATTTTTCCAGTTTTATTCATGGTGCTCCCCAAGTGAACTACCTACTCCCATTACCCTAGTTTGCCCATTCACAAAACAGCGGATCATTCTTATCTTTTATTGATTCCTTTCTACCACCCTCTCTCCAACTACCCCATTTAACCTAATCATTGGAGTCTTCCTGTGAAGCTGTGTGCCAATACAGTGCCAATGCCATTCATGGAACCAGATTCAGATGACCTTGTTTTGAGCTTTAGGACTGACACCATTCTTGATGTCAGGCCTTGGGCAAGTTTTTTAACTCTGATGAACATCAGTTTATTCAACTAAAACATGGGAGAATAATCAGGAGGGTTGTCATGGGGAAGGGTGGAGCCTTTAAAAATCTTGACATTTTAGAAATGGGATTTTTTTTATTATCAGTAGTAGACATAAAATGAACTAACGTTTATGTGTCATCATAAAAAATGTAAAGCAGTTTTTTCAATAACTTCTTAATCCATCAAATGAAGATCCTTTGAAAAGTCAGTATGGACATGAATCTTCAATGGAGGCCATTAGAGGATCTTAGCTTTCATATTCATTGATCTTTGCTATGCTTGTGATTTCATTTCCGTTCCCATTCATTTTATTGAATATGTACGTAGAATAAAACACAAATATTACCATAAAAACACAAGCCTAGTGAATTTCTGTTGATTCCAGTTCCTAGATGCTAGTCTACCAAATAAAGAGCTAGTCACGCTTGGCGGTTCTTCTCTTTGTTTGGTGTAAATACTCACCAGGTTAAACATTTCTAAAACCACTGATGGAGGAAAAGCTAAATGACCAACAGATGTACAAGTATATTTCAAGGAAAAAGTATATTACCTGTGAAGGGGAGTTGGAAAGAAAAGAGAAGAGATGAAGAAGGAGTAATCTTGCTTTTTGTCACATGTATTTGAATAATAATATGTAGGAGAGAAACAATGGGAGATTATTTGACTTAATATTCAAGAAAATTATAGGGACACACCTGGATAAAGAAGGGGAAGGGCCTGGCATAAACATTCCCCACACCTATCTAGGTGGATGTGTATTTGGGCTGCAGTACAACATGTGAATTTGCAGAAGTAAGTGACTAGTCCTGATTAGAAACAGCACCCTACCCTGACCCAATTACTATTCCAAGCAAGCTAAGGAAAGGGATCGAAACTTTTCATGATTTGTCTTGGGATCAAATTCACAAGCCTTCATATTTTACCCCAAATTGTAACCACCTGAGAATTGCTGCTTCCGAGGCAATATGAAATATGAGTGTCCATTTTGGGGAGATAGGCTGCACAAGTAGCCATCAGGAGGTGGGCTTACTGAGTGGTAAAGGGCCAAGGAATAGAAGTACCATTACTGATCAGTGGAGGAATTGGCTTCAGGGAATGAAATCATGTCAATGAAAATTCTGAATACTCTGGAACTCTGAAATACTTTCCAAGCTCACCACTAAGCAATGCAAGCTATTCTCTAGATACCATTATCTCTCCAGCTGTTAGGATGTCCCTTCTTTTCCTTATACCAAGGTACAATATATTTGTTTTGTATATATTTTTATTTTCCCTGTCTATGCTTTTGCCGGTTTCTCCCAGTGAAATGTAAGCTTCTTGATGGTAGAGACTTTCTTAGTTATCTTTATAATAATAGTAGTTGTAGTGGTAGCTGTCAGCATTTATATAGCATTTTAGGATTTGCAAAGTGATATACAGATATGACTCCTTCATTCTCTCTACAATACTTCAAGAAGGTGCTATTATTATCAGTATCTTTGTAGATAAAGACAATGTGGCACAGAGAGTTAAGTGACTAACTTAAGGTCATACAGTGAGGGTCTGTAGCAGGATTTAAATATGTCTTCTTGACTCCAGGTCCATCACTCTGCCCGTGGTGCCCCATAGTCACCTCTATCATTATACGCAAATTCCTACCTAACAGAAAACCTGGAATATTATGTTGAATTCATATGGGTTAAAATGAACCTGTTAAAATCTACTGCTAAAAGTAGATTTTATAGAAAATACTTCATTTTTTTGAGAAAGAACATTGAATATGTACAATCAGTTTCTCTATAAACTGTTTAGAGAACACTAATTTTCTTGTAATTGTTTTAAAGACAAATGATGAGAAGATAGTGTCTTGGCATTAGAAGAGTTTTCAGCCAGCCGACACTAATTAAGATTGAATTGGACCCTTAAACCTTCCTATCATGGTTTTATTCACACAACACTAGTAAAGAAAAAGTAGAGATTTCATAATGAAGAATCCAGGAGAAGGATAGATTTGAAAGACCTCATCCATCCAGGGTAGATGGAATGCTAAGAAAGGAAAAAATAATATAGAGCTATAGGTATATAGATATATGTATATGTGTATGATTCTGACTACACATTTGAAATTCACAAATATGATCCTGATTAGGGTTCTCTGACTCAGTTTCTTGATCTGTAATAAATGAGAAAAATAACCCCACTATCACCAACCTCACAGCAGGGGGTGGTAGGAGGGGGAAGAATCTTGATAATGTGAGCAATTGTTTTTTCAAATTTTTTAACCCTTAAAAGTTAAATGTATCCATTTCCAGAAAAATGCTAACCATCGTTCCCTTGTGATCCCTTATTAGAACGTAAGCTCCCTAAGGAAGGATTATATCTCCTTTTGTCTCTGTTATCTCACATTACTGGATGTCATAAACGTTTCTAGATTGATTGGGCAGAAGAGAAGAGATCCACTGTAAAGAATGTGACCCAGATCTCAATTTTCTTGTGAGTTCAATGGTTTAATTTATATGAGCATCAATATTCTCATTTGGTCCAGTATGAGCAAAAAATAAACCAACACGACAATGAAATCTCCCATCCTACAACATCATTACTTTCTGTAGGAAATTGAAGAACTTTTTTCCAAAGCCCTTGTCCCAGTGAATTTCATTCTTTAGCACACTTTCTTATTATCTTCCAACATTTGGGGGGGGTGGGGCGCTGCCTTTGTCTTCTTTTGTTTATCTTTCAGGTTTGTGTTTTGGAAAAGAAGATAGAATAAATATCTGAAAAGATTAGTAAATGGCCATGTATGGAGTATGGTAGGGGAGGAAATCCCTACAACCCATTAGATCAATGTGTGACCTGATCTCCTTGAGTCCTGTCCATGAACAGCTGATTCACATTTGCCAAAAAATGTGCTCAGGAAAAAAGGGCATGGATTTCATAAATGGCACTCCACAACCTTCAAAACCTTCCTTCACATTGTGATGTTGTCAGTGCAGGGCACTCCTTGGTGTAGAAATCCCTTCCCTTGATGCAGATGGCCAATTAGTCTCTAAGGGATTAGGTGACGAATGCGTTCCAGGGAGGGATTTAGCCTAGTTTTGACTGATTCTAAAGTAAGCCCCTTCATCCACAACACACAGCAACTTCTTACCATGGTAGAAAGCCCCCTGCATCCACTCCAGATTGTATTCGCATAAAGCTTTCGGATTTACATATGCTATCTCTTTTGTTGCTCATCCCACTCCTCTGAGGTAAGTCATGCAAATATAATTTTCATTTTAGTGAGTCAGGCTACAGATCCGATGAAGCTAGGTAGTGGTAGCATGTCCTAGTATTTTCATTCATTCAATTCATGTGATGAATATTTCCTAATTACCTTAAGGGTGCCAGGAACTATACTTTGTGTTTTGTATTTTCAGTGCCTAGCCCAGGGCCAGACATAGACTAGGTACTTTAAAAGGTTTGCTAATTTGAACTATATGTAAAATACACATTGAATCATTTCTGGACATGCCACATCTCTCCTGTTCAGCAACCAAAATGACAAGAAGCATTTTACCGTCTCTGTAATATTCCTTGGCTATTTGCCTGGTGTTCAGGAGCCCACCAGGGCAAAGGCGCCAAACAGCAGAATGCACCCTCTAGTCCACAGGACCATTGCCAAATGTCTTACTTTGCTTAGCCCATTGCTTTGCCATCTACAATGCTAGTGATTTCTCATAGGGGTCTTAGGAGTGTCCCAGCCCAACTTGAAAGTCTTACAATTTTCCTGACCAATAAAATTGAGAATAAAAAGAAAAGCAGCAAAGGAAAGCCCAATGTTACTAACCTGCTGAATGCCTGACCTAGGTGGGCCCCCAGGGACCAGTTAGTGCTAACCAAGCCTGCATAAGGATCTCTTGGACAACACGTTTGCCAATGATCTCTTGAACATAATGATCAGCAATATCGCTAAACATAACTGAAGAGTGCACTATCCCATCAACTAGAGTGGGGTCATCATCTACTGCATGGCAGGATTCAATTTATATAATGTACCATTTAAAGGCTTTGGAATGTTAATCTTTTCTTTTTTTTTTTT